CACTTATGTTAGGCACCTCAGATGCCCAGAGAACTCAGGGATTTCCAAAAATCAAAGCCGTAATTAAAGGAAGATTCATTACTGTATTATTTAGAATGTTTGGGGTGTACGTGACAGAAAAAAAGCAGGCTTTTTTTCCTAAATAACAAATCTGGAGGTAGGTGTTGCTGGTATGTATAGTTGTCATGATTCCAGGACCAGATTTCCTATGATTATCTTTGCCCTTTCCTTCTGGTGGCAAGAGGTGAGATCTTGCCAAAAGTTCCCAAATGAGGTCCTCTGGTCATTCAAAATGTAGAATTCAGATTCGTACCTCGTGTTTTTGTACAAGTTGATTTGCCGGATGATTGGCAATCAGAAGTCAATACATACATGCACACGTACAGCCTCCTAGATGTTCTGGTAGCACTTCAAGGGTTATTTCCATCAGGTGGTGGTGACATGAGTCACTTCCCTCCTCGGAAGGAGATTGGACTTGCTTGCCAAGCAAACTAGAATGTGTGTGGCAGTCAGTCAAAGCCCTTCTCCCGTGGACAGAGCTGGAGACACAGGAAGAGAAGGGGAGAGTGGTTACCTTCACTCATTCCCTAGTTGTTATCGCTGTTGTTGTGTTGGTTTACATTTTAAAAATAACAGGGGACAAATTCCTAGTCAACGTGAACAATAGCGTATGGCAGAAGTAATGGTAAGTAATCCAGTGATATTGGGATATGAACGTGTGGGGCTTCCATCTTGAGTGCTCCCCCAACCCCTCATTCTCTCTCATCTCTCCATGTTTGAACAGCCCCATGGAGAGGTTCTTGAGCCAAGGAACTGAAGCCTCCAGCCAACAGCCGTGACTAAGACCTGGAGCAATGATGCGCGTGAGCTTGGAAGCAGAAAACTCTCCAGTCCCAACTAAGTCTGGAGACGACTGGAGCCCTGGCCAAACTTGACTTTGACCGCGTGAAAAACCCTGAGCCAACTACCCAACCAGGCCACACCACCAACCATCAGAAACTAAATGAGGTAATAAATGTTTCATGATGCTAAGTTTTGGGGTCATTTGTTACACAGTAATATGTAGCTATAATACAACTAGAAAGGAGGAAAATCATCATGTAATTACTTTGTTAGAGACAGAAAAAGCATGGGATAATATTTAGCACATACTTGGTAATTTTTTAAAAACCTTTCAATCAGCTAGGAGGAGAAGGCAATGTCCTTATCTACTAAAGACAATTCACCACAAAAAAACTAAAAGGTTATCACACTTCGTGGTGAAATGTTAAACCTTTTTCTCTGAAATTACAAATGAGACAAGGATGCCCACTATTATCATTCTAACTGAACATTTTACCAGCAGTCCTAGCCAGTGAAGTAAGGAAAGAAAAAGAAATAAGAGAAATAAAATGGATGGAGGAAAATTAAAGTGTCATTATTTGCCTGTGACATGACTGTGTTCATAGAAAATCCAAAAGAATTTACAAATAAACTACTAGAATTAATCAGTGAATTTAGCAAGGTCTCTGGATGCAATGTTGATAAAAATCAAGTGGATTTCTTTATGTCAGTAACAAGTAGGAAAAGAAATTTAAAATAAGACCACTTAACAACAGCATTTAAAAATCAAATACCTAAGAATAAATCTAACAAAAGATGTGTAAGGCCCCTCCACACAGTGAATTATAAAGCATTATTGAAAGAATTGAAAGAAGACAATTCCACACACATAGATCATGTCCGTGGATTGGAAGGTAGGTGTTGATTCGTCTCAAATGTATACTTTCAACACACTGCGATTAAAATCCCAGCAGGCATTTTTGAGAGACTTGATAAGTTGATGATAATAAAATGTATGTTGAAATGCAAAGGGTTAATAATAGGCAAGACAACCTTAAAGGAAGAACAAAGGTGGAGAACTTGACCACCAGAAATGGGCTTATTATAAAGCTGCACTAATTAGGATCATGTGTTAACAGTGAAAGGACAAATGGACTAATGGAACAGAGTAGAGTACACAGAGAG